GATCTTAAGCTTTGATTTAATTCTAAATCGGATTTCAGTTAATAAATAAATATATTACAAAAAATCGCGTTAACGTACAAATCATTTGAAAATTCTCTCAAATTTATGTAACTTATTATGAAAATTCTTAATATTTTTATCCATTGCTTACATTGAAAAGTTAGTTACATATGGTTCATAGGGTATATGCTCTGGCAATAGCTTTTCATTGGAATTACTCTCAAATGGATTTCTCTTTGATTTGATGGCACAGCAGGTGTCGAAACATGAAGAATGACATTCACTATTGATTTATTTCAAATCTATGACTAACATTAAGACCACTTACTGTTAAGAGTATTTATGGAGATTAAGCTAATTCTCATTCAATTATTAAGAATACATTATGACAATAAAATTCTTGTATACAAAACATGTCATTGGCAGTGAGAATTCATTTCAACCTATTTTTATAAAACACTTTTTAAAATATTTGTTTTTAAACACAAATATTTACTATTTATGTTTAGTAAAATACTAATTTAATTTTCCAAATACCTGCATATAAGAATTATTTTAAATAAATACAAGTATAACGTAACATAAAAATTATTATCCATAAACAATATAATGTATATAATACTTTGAACATATTTCACGTTTTAAAAATACTGACTCTATATAAATACTAGTATAATGGCATTAAATAAATGCATAGAAAAGCAATTATTGGACATATTATATGCATCACTTATTTCAACGATTTATTGAACTTAATTGATATAATTTTCAACCATTTATTAAATAACGATTCATATGTTTGTCTATAATTATTACAAAAGTCTGTAATTTATTCTTTAAGATTGAATGAAATATTTGATGTAAAACTATAGAGACATACAGATGTAAGAACTGGTACTTTACTGTATGATAATTGCAAAACTGGTATTACTTTTAGACTAAAGGACTATGATTGGGTTGAATATAGAGAATAATATAATAGCACTTAATTTACTCATAACTATCTGAAGGCAAGCTCATGTAGAATATGAATCCAGAATCTCATAATGTATTCACGCACTGACTGTTGACTCGTATCAGCCAAATATGTCAGATCTTAAGCTTTGATTTAATTCTAAATCGGATTTCAGTTAATAAATAAATATATTACAAAAAATCGCGTTAACGTACAAATCATTTGAAAATTCTCTCAAATTTATGTAACTTATTATGAAAATTCATAATATTTTTATCCATTGCTTACATTGAAAAGTTAGTTACATATGGTTCATAGGGTATATGCTCTGGCAATAGCTTTTCATAGGAATTACTCTCAAATGGATTTCTCTTTGATTTGATGGCACAGCAGGTGTCGAAACATGAAGAATGACATTCACTATTGATTTATTTCAAATCTATGACTAACATTAAGACCACTTACTGTTCAGAGTATTTATGGAGATTAAGCTAATTCTCATTCAATTATTAAGAATACATTATGACAATAAAATTCTTGTATACAAAACATGTCATTGGCAGTGAGAATTCATTTCAACCTATTTTTTATAAAACACTTTTTAAAATATTTGTTTTTAAACAAAAATATTTACTATTTATGTTTAGTAAAATACTAATTTAATTTTCCAAATACCTGCATATAAGAATTATTTTAAATAAATACAAGTATAACGTAACATAAAAATTATTATCCATAAACAATATAATGTATATAATACTTTGAACATATTTCACGTTTTAAAAATACTGACTCTATATAAACACTAGTATAATGGCATTAAATAAATGCATAGAAAAGCAATTATTGGACATATTATATGCATCACTTATTTCAACGATTTATTGAACTTAATTGATATAATTTTCAGCCATTTATTAAATAACGATTCATATGTTTGTCTATAATTATTACAAAAGTCTGTAATTTATTCTTGAAGATTGAATGAAATATTTGATGTAAAACTATAGAGACATACAGATGTAAGAACTGGTACTGTACTGTATGATAATTGCAAAACTGGTATTACTTATAGACTAAAGGACTATGATTGGGTTGAATGTAGAGAATAATATAATAGCACTTAATTTACTCATAACTATCTGAAGGCAAGCTCATGTAGAATATGAATCCAGAATCTCATAATGTATTCACGCACTGACTGTTGACTCGTATCAGCCAAATATGTCCGTCCGATCCGTATTTATAATCGTGAGAACCGAACCAATGTATGTATGTATATATGGGCTGTTTATGCCCTCGGGTTTTGTATCATAGGCTCATCAATAATGTGTTGTTTAGAAATTCATAATAATATCAAGCAATGGCTCATATAAAGCATATATAGCCCGCATGTAATCTATTTGAATGCTTTGCAAACTCTTAACTGTAAACTTAAAAACTGATCACAATTTGCATAATAGAAACAAAGATAAACAATATTCACAAAAATTACAATTTTCTTTATAACCATTACGTAAAAGATTTGATAATTTTTCTATTATTTTAATCTCTTATCCATTTGTTACAGCCTTTCGAAAACATGATTTGGCGCCTGAGGTCCCGATCCCTCACTTTGGCTTCTCTAAGGTAAGCATAATTTGACCAAATTTTTTATCATTTAATCGTTTTGTAATAGTTTTCCAAATAATTAATTATTCAATGAGTTCTATAAATACTTTTGACTTATAAAAGCAAAAGTATTTAAACAAAAAAGTATTTCATTATAACAAATAAATGAAATATTGTGTTAAGATATTTATACTTTAATATTTGAAATTCAAAAATAGGTTTAAAATAACTATTCTGAATTTTTATACATAATTGATTATAACATTATATAACTATTTTTTTTATTATCCGATATATATATATAATTATTATATCAATAAATTAAAATATATATAATATTAATCAATTAAAAAACTAAAATATTTAATAACAAGTGACAAAAGTTTAAATAAATTTAAGTCAAATAAGTGAATCATAAGATTAGATACGGGAGAAGTTTGGGAAACTTAATTATAGAGCAGTTGTGTTATGACATCCCATATATTTATATTACGACTGAGACCACTGTAATTATGAATGCAATCATAAATTAAATGTTTATTGCATTGATTATAACTAAAAACGTAGCTTTGATGAGAAAATTATATCAATTACTAATTGCGAACACTTTAACGTAATGTTATTGACTTTTATGTTCATAATTGCAATCAAATGCTCTGTCATTGAAGTGTCGGCAAACCAACTGCACATGAATTGTATTGAATATTCCTCTGCCTCTAAGACTGTAAGCAGTGGAGTGTCAGGTGTAGTGCCCGACCAACAGTCGGTGCACTCATTGCATTGGTTTTCTCTGTAAGACATACGAGAGAAGCATTGGTTGCAGAAAAGATTGATTTTAGGGACGTATCCTTGAAAGCGATAATTTAATTAAAAGGATTGCATAAAATTAGTGAATATAGTACTGTATTATTATTGGTAGTAATGTATGATTGGTTTGAATAGGCTTTGAGTGGATTCCTGATGATGACTACACAGAATGGGAAACTGCTTTACATATCAGACAATGCGGCCGAATATTTGGGACACTCTATGGTAAGTGAAAGTTGTGACCACTTTTGATGAGATGATGTTTAGACATAATTTATCTGATAATTACACGTATGGCTAATGAATTCTATGGTTAAAAGATGAAAATTATAAGAAATTCATGATACAAATCATTGGCACCAGCGATAGCACTGTTAGTATATGAGCAGTGAATGATCAGCTTTTTATACATAATAGCATTGATTTAAGCGCAAGTGATATGCGCTGAGAATTTTAAACCAAATCCGCATACCATAGGCAGGTGGAGCCGGGCACAATTCATGACAAATACCCATTTCGTGAGAGTTTGTGAACTCAGATCTTGACTCTCGAGCGCCAGTCTTGTGCTGCCGTCGCCACAGTCGGAGCAGTCGGTGCTATGTTTGCAAAACTGCTGTAATATTGCCAATAATGAAGGGGAAAGCAATTCTGGGAGTTATAGTCTCCGGTGTAAACCAATCTCGTTGTGATCCCTGGCCTCAGATGAGGTTTTGGTTGGTTTAATGATGTTGAGCACAGCCTATAATGAGCTGATGTCTACTTTGCAATTATAATTGAAAAGGGGAGGAAAGCTATCGGTGCTCTGATAGTTAAATGGCCTCACGATTTGTCTTGTAATATATATAACAAACCCTGATATGTATGATACGTATGAATGCTGTAATAGTGATAGCAATGGATGGCAATATAGGTCGTCATAATATGTTACGTGTGTGGCGTGAATGGCGTCAACACTAAATTCAGTGAAAGTTATTATAAAACATGTTTAAGTCTATGCCTCCACTCATACCTCTTAAGTCATCCAATGATGAGTTACATAATTAGAAGCGAAGTGTTTGCTAACTATTCCTGCATTACATTTGTCTCTAATCTCTCCGCTACTGTTATGCTATGTTTAGGTCCCGGAACTGTTTGCCCTCCAAAGGTCGCTAAACATCACAATTTACTTTCCAAATAATATATCGATTTTATATCGCGTTTTAACTTCTAATCCACTCATGCCTTCTCACTAAACAATGTGGGCCTACACTTGCATTCATCAAAATATATGCACTGTTTCTACGATTAAGCCTCAATTCATTGCATTATTCCGTAATATTTTTTGATATATTGCACATCAAATGATACCCAAAACCATTAACATAACAAAGACAGCAATAAATATATCGTTTAAGATATTTATATGTTGCACTCAATTGCATTCACAATAATATAATTTAGTTTTCAATTGTACTTTATATACAAAGTATTATCAATCATTGTAAGGCTTGTAATGGTTTGATTGCAAACGACAACAATTTAACTAAACTTAATTGAGACCTAAACTTGCATTCACTTCAGTTTACTCACACTTAGCCTCAAAGCTGTCTAACAATTAGATATTCTTAGCATTTTTGCAGTGATTTATTTGTTAGATAACATACGAGACTTAATCGATGCCAACAAATTCAGCTAGTATTTTAATTTCTAATAAGTTTTATGATATGCATTAAGCGTTTATTTCAAATTGTACACAAAAGACAACCGGATTTTTTACTTTGATCTTAAGTAACAAATTGTTAATAGACTTGAGATTCTGTTTTCAAGGACAGGATTCACTTACCTGTGATCCAACTCTCACTCAATTATTGTTTGCTATTATACTATTGATTAATAACTTCAGTCAAAACATATAGAATATTAATCATTGTTTGCAATTTTTATAATTATTAATCAAGTTGTTACGATTATGCAATGGCATATAAATACTCTATTTAAAAAATAACTCAAATTCTGTAATATGCTGTAAATTGTCTGCAAAATTAAATAATGGTTCATTTGATACCACATCTCCTAACTTACTATAAAATATACTGTAAGACTTACTGGATGCAATAAAGTACAATAGTAATTTTGCATATTGCATTAAATGAACTTGTCAATTACTAATTCATCAAAATTAAATATGCACTTTGCAATATATTGACAAAATGCAAAATAACTTCAGATTTTATTGCATTTAATATAAGATTTGACTCTAATTTGCAATCAATTAATTTATTTTAATTAAGTCCTAACGTTTTGTTTGAAGTTATAATCGCTACTATTATAAATCAATTAAAACATTTTAATGATTTTTGGTTTTTACTTTATCTCTCATATTTTGCTACCGAATTACATGAGGTGTGGGAAAGTCTACCAAATAATGATTGTGTGCTTATATTAAATAGAAAAAGAGCTGCAGAAGAAGCTAATTGTTTGATACAATTTGTTGGCCGCACCTCACAGTCAAATGGATGTGCTCTCAAATAGAACTGAACTCTATTTGTGCTAACTTTGAGGCAATACCTGTAATAACATAACATAACGTTTAATCTGGCGCTACAAGTGCTACACTTTTTTTTGGGTGTGGGTCTCAAAGAAAAACCAGTGCTGAATACATAAGTTGGTGTTAGACCCGTATGTCTCAATGCTTTACTAAATAAAAAACATATACTTATTATACGATTGACTGCTACTGTATTTCACTGATTAATAGCTCAAAATGAAGAAAACTTTCTCTGAACTCAAATCCCAAAAGAAATGCTAGAAAAAGTGACAGATATTAATCCAAAGCAAAGCTTTGCTCACATTTTTGTCTAATTTCACAATTAAATTAATATAAATTAATGAATAATATATTTGACGGCAATTTTTGACATTTATTCTGTAGCGCCAGAAATATTGGCAACTAATCAATGTCTGACTAATAGTGTGAGCAATTCCTATCATACCTGAGCTAAATTGCATGTAATATCAAAGTATTTATGAGAAACATTTGATTTGTTGCGCACAGAGTTTAGCTGAAGTTTAATAAGTTTAGGCAATCAGTGCACCGATAGCTTTAGTTATAAGACATATTGAATATGAAATGCAAGCAATATATCAGGCAGTGGTTGAGGCGCCGCTGCGAGCCCTGCGAGACCGCCGACGCCAACAAATAGAGCTCCAGGTCTTATGGCAGGCCTTATAGCAGCCCAACGCGACTCAAAACGGGCCGAAACTACAAATTAGGCCTCTCTTGCTCTCATGCCTCTCGTCGATGCGGTTTTCAACAAAACTCATGAAAAGAGTAGCAGACAAACAGTAAATCAGTTTTCAGTATAAGGGTATGAATCACAAGTCTAGCAAACTTTGCGAACGGTTCCCAGATATTGACTACTACTCTCTAACTTAACTATATTTTTGTCCACAACTGCTACTAATGCATACAATATATAAGTTACTGATATTTGTTAAGCACAACAATTACTTGAGTGCACCACTCATTTGATTATAGGTTAAGTAGATTTGCAGACAATTATTAGGATTTGTTTTTTGACAGCGAGCCTACTGCTCAGGTAGCTATGTTGAGTACCGGTAAGGTAGCACTTGTAGTCTTGCAATTTTGACACTCGCCTTAATTACAAATTCCGCTATTTTAATGACTGCTTACTTATCGCTGTTATTACACATCAAACATAACATTTCACTAAACATACAGTCCATCACCGGATCCGACGAAACATCATTTGCTCCCAAATTGACTCTAATATCCAAAACTTTTTTCTATTACTTTTGTAATTCAATTTTAATACACTTATAATCAATGGTTTGCTGCGAGCGTACAGTCGATTGTAAAACATTTGGTTGTATTGTCTCATAGGAGGACCTTCTCATTCACGGCGATAGTGTTTACGATATCATTGAAAAACAAGACCACCAGACTATCCAGACAGAGCTCATGCGGACCCCTAACCCCCTTAGCTTAGCACCGGATACACGAATATTCTTATGTCGGATGAATGTCTCGCGGAATGCCAGACGACAAATGAGATTTGGGGACCAAAAAGTATGCCATATTTCCCTTATATAACACCACTTCATATTTGCACTAAACTTGTAATTAATATACATATTTTTACACATTCGCAGGTAGTTTTAATTCAGGGACATTTCGTGAGTTTCCTACCGCTTTGCAGTCGCAATGAACCCGTATTTTTGGCCACCTGTACACCCGTTGCTATGCCTGAGACCCGAGAATGTGTAGTCCAGGGAAGCACTAATGTCTTCACATCCATCCACTCAATGGATATGAAATTCATTCATTTGGACCGAAAGTAAGCCTTAAGTCTTAGTATTCTGTTTGTTCGCAAAATTATTGCTAATTTCCACACAAAAATCATTTTAAATTATTTTCTATTGAATATTCTTTTCATACATTAATATTAATAAATTAAATACTTATCTAATTAGTAGTTAAGACAAAAATTATATGAAAAATAAAATCTTATATGAGATGCACTCCATTGGGATAATTATTCTTTGAAAGCATAAGAACCCCTCAGAAAAACTTATTAAAGCAGATGTCTGTCCTTCGGTTTACTCTTAAGGTCAAGAGAATTAAATTAAGTTTAGTTTAGGGTTTGAATGGTTTTGTTGGTGTACACTGTAAACTAAATCTATATATGAGATGTCGTGACTTAGTCTGCGCTCATCAATGTTTGCCTTATTTTTAATGAATAGCTATCGGGCCGTGAGATATGGATACAGTTGATGCCAATGCATGCAATTCTCGTAGAGTATAGTATAGTAAATGAATTTTCGTTTGCATTCACTCATCACAAACTCATTCCACACCCGCTTTCACCTCTTATGACACCTGACCTCTTGGGTGTTGGAGTGGAGGATAGGCTTATGAGAGAATCTTATCAGAGATGTGTTGTTTTGCTATGATTTTGTGGTTAATGTGATTGCAATACATAGAGAATAGAGTATAACTCAAGTCATGACTTGGGATCAAAGTAGAGGTCATGAGGCGGACTGAGACATAAAATGTACAAAATATAGCAAAATATAGCAGAATATAGCAAACCGTCAATTTAGGAAAGAGAAAGGCATTACTGCATCGTGTCGAACATCAACATACCTGTGCTCTGTAGTGTATACGGCACAGGTATTGTGTCAAACAAAACAGTATACAATTTACGCAAAGCATCTATTTTTCAACGATTATGTTGTGTTCATGAAATTATGATACCGTAAGACCACAGATTTAGTGGCACTTGTAGTACACAGGCATTCATTGTTCACAAACATTGCTTTTAGTGGGAGTGGACACTGGTGTCTGAGTGAATGCATATTAATGTTGAGCACAAATGAACATAATTCCTGACATTGACTGCAATTTAGAGAATATTTTCATTTCTCAAAAGAAGTCAAAAGTCTGAAAAACACTCCTTTTATTTGTAAAACAGCGGAGAATTTCATTTGGGATACAATAAGTCGTCGGTTGAGGGCCTGTCGTGGTATGACTTCGTTCATTGGGAACATCTCAGAGAAGCACAATCTAAGCACAGACTAAGTAAGCATATTATGAGGACTATAAGGGCGCCGACAGCACATCTCTCATTGCCTATAATTGCCTTTCAGTTACACAATCAGAACAGGAGAGGTCTTGTATACTACTGTTGCGACTCCAGACTAATGCCAGCGCCTGGATATGGGTTCACGTTGTCCTCCAGGTTAAGGACAGTAATGACAGTTCACAGCAACCGGTCATCGTCTGCACGAACCAAGTGTTGAGGTCTGTGTCTGAGTTGTCTCTCAATCCTTTGCATCCATTAATCATTTGTATGAATGGATTCTTTACTGAACTTGGTAACTTGACTCAATGGATTCATTCAATGATTGCATGTGTAGTGAAAGGGAGGCGACGGTAATGCGAGCGAACAGTTGGTTGTATCAGTTCTACTCACTTCACTCGAAAATGCATTACGGGTTGGCATATGAGGCCCACACCACACGACTCCCGACTTATTACCCAACACCGACCCCAACTGTCATGAGTCACGCGTACCATCACCACCACCACTCACACGCCAGCCCTGTCTCAGCCGGTGGTGAAGCGGCATCGGTGCCCATACATACCGTTCCCTATCACATCCATTCCCATTCGGCAATCACACCCTTGAATGGCACGCCAGGACACCGTCACCCCCATCACCCTCAAGCTGTGCTCCAGTACTCACCACAGGCCGGATCACTACCCTATCCCAGTATTGTCGCTGCTGTCAATGCCAGCGCACAAACCATGGCAGACACCGAACCAATCAAACAGACAAACATCAAGAGAACGCTTTCACCACAAATCACATCACAATCAGAACAGTCTCACGAAGAGACAGAATCTCCAGAACCACCGACAAAGCGGCTGAACCTAAACCACCACAACCTGCCGCCCCCACCCTCCTCTACATACCATCACCCGAGAGCCTCAACATTCGCTTATCCGACCTCAATGTTCGGCACCGGAGGCTTCTCGGCCTCCTCTATGACCGGAGTAACGGAGTTGGGATCAGTTGTTCCGAGTTATTATGGCGGCCCACAAATGCTGACCTCCGTTCCCTATCACACACAGATTGGACATCATTTCAGAAATCAGAGCAAAATGTCACTCTTTGAAGAGTCAGATAATTGTAATTTCGACCAAACATTCACTTCGACTACCACTGAAGACGTCTCTAATATCATATCATTTTCATCGCCCGCTTATCTAAAATACACGTCTGGGCTCATGTCATACCCATATCCAGATCTGCCGGATAGAGATTTAGAGAAAGTGCGATCTCCGGAGTCCATAGTGTCGACCACATCAGACTATGGCAGTATGACATCCCAGTCCCCTCCCTCAGCCTTTGAGAAGCCTAATAAGAAGGACAGCTTAGCTCTACTGACCAATAATGGCATTACATATAATACAAGTGCAAACATGAATACAAATACTAATATAAATAATTCGCAACATTTATATCAATCACTGAAAAACAATTGGAGCGCTACTCCTATCTATACCGATCTCTCTATATCCCGGCCCTCACAAGCAATCCATAATCAAATAGATAAAGACTTTGAGACATTGGATCACAGATTTCCATTGCCTAATGTCATTTGGGGCTATAACGCTGATAACAGTGGGTTAAGTCAGTTGTCTCTGAGTTCGGCCTTTGGTGTGGACACCAACTCAATGCAAATCTCTCAGCAATACATCAATGAATTGCGAAACAGTAAAAGTGATCAAATGAATCAAAACAATGCCATTCATTCAAGCCATGCAACACATGCCACACATGGGGCACATATACCACATCCGACAAGTCTAGTCAGTGCACCACATAGTGGTCAGGAGTCGGACCTTCAGCCACAAACGGCCACCACAGCTGACATTCCATCGCAGAGCTCATCCCCAGTATCCACACAAACGGTATCACCGGTAGAGCTGAGCTCATCCTCTCACGGCGTGGGAAGAGCCGTAGGCTATGGCGGTATGAGTGCTATGAGAGGTATGAGTGGCTCTATTGCAAAGGCTGAGAGAAGCACTGCCACGACCGCCCAGGACTTACCTGACCCAGGACTCTACCTGATCGGTATGCCTCACACTTTACATACAAATACACTGCAAATATTGCACTCTTTCAGAAACTGCATAACACTTATGACGAGTATCTCATATACAAACTGTAAGCTCGAAGCGATTTTCAACTCAATCAATGCTTAACTAAACCAGAATCGAGTTTTGCATCTAATTATCTCATTGTCCAAAACATAGTTGCAATTTGTTTGCAAACATATCTTATACAATATAATCTTATCGCTAATCCCTACTCACTAAATATAAATCACAAGTCAGTAGTCAATACTCAACAACATTACAGCATTAAAAATAGGCCTCAATGTGAGACTTAAGTGAATTGTATTGAAATTCTGTCCCAAACTATTCCATCAAAACATAACAGATTTAACAGCATTTCAAAGTTGATAACTAATCACAACTACGTTCAGCCCATTAATTAAGAGCTCTTCAATTAATAAGAGTAACAATATATGAATATTTCTAAAGTTATTGTATTGTTTAACAATAAGTGATTTGTATAAGAATTTGTAGTGATATTTATAGATGAGTTTCAGTCATTAGTTGTTACGGAATTGATTGAATGCAAAGAGCATTAAAACTAACAGTAAATAACTATTGGTTTAGAGTGGAAGTGCACATGGGTTTAGTGGTTAGAGTGCTTTGGGGTTAGTTATGTTTGGTTGTGGTGTTGTAGTGGTTGTGGTGGTTGTGATGGTTTGCATGCGTGAAGAATGTAATTAACGTGTGGTTTCACAAATGGTGAGTGAGTCGGCTCATCAATAGGTACAGGCTCATCCATAGGCACACAATAAACTACATTAACTCACCTGAAAATGAGCCCAATTGTGGCCTCACAGACAAACTACACATGAGATGCACCACATATTCTCTAGTACTGTATCCCATATACACTGATACTCCTTATGAGTAATGGATTTCATTTAAATTTCACTTTAATTTATTTTTCTTCTTTTTCGAAAACTAATGAAAATAGTTTTGGAAATATTTTCAAATATCTTTTTCTTTTCAATTTAGTCTCGACTCGACTGGTCTCTGGTCTCGAATGAAGAATACAGTATAAGAAGTATAAGAATCTAATTGTTATTTCGTGTAATTATTACATATATTACACATTCGTTGGTTCACGAGAGGACCGGATGGAAAGTACGGCACATTGCCGTCAGTTATATATTGCTATGAAAATGCATTCTTACAAAAGATATACAAATTATTATATTATGGGTTATAATTATATTCGTAGACAATATTTCTATTTTAATATATAATAATATTTTCCAAATTATTGGTTCCATTAAAACACTATTTCTTAGACAACATTCTATCGAAAAAACTGTTTTATATTATCGCAAACTTTAATTTTTGGCAAATTTTCCCTATTATTTGCTAATCTATACAAAGCTTAAGGCAATTCACAAGAGTGTCGTAAACTTCATAAAACATACCGTATTCTCTGGTCTATTAGTAGGGCTCTCCATAAAGTTGACGTCGAGACTGTGCCAACACATTATACATACATTCCTTGTTATTAACTATTATTATATTACATAAAACTTACAGCAAATTAAATAACTTGAGAAAAAGACTGTCAGACATAAGAGCCCTTATAGTAAAACATAGAGTATTTGCGACTGAAATATATATTACATATAGTATGATATGATGTGCTATTGTCGGTCATTAGTGCCAATGAACTCGACCTCTGATGTCGAGTACAATAATTACTACAACTATTGAGCAATAAATAGTATCACAATATTAGTTATTATTATATTTCGTTCCGTTTTTCATTATTATTATTATTATTGACGATAAGTGCCTTTAGTATAGTACCCGGATCTCTATTAAAACCATATTGTGCTCCATGTTCTCCCTATGCTCTCATATATGCTTTCCGTTACGTCAAAGTCTTTATTCTTATAAAAACCTCTCATATTATTGATATCAAAATAAACAGCAAAAGGTTACCAAAAAGTGCCGAAACTTTTTGCTGAAAAAGCATTCATCGTTTACTCAAAACGTTTGCCTTTAAGTGTTGATAAGAAAAACCAAACAATACATGAATTTCTCAAAATTACATCATTTCTCGTTTCTCTATACGAGTCATTTGAGCCAACAGTGCGGCCAACCACTCGATTATGTAGTTTAGGAGCAGTTATTTGTTACTATTTTCTCAGCTATTTCTCAAAGTATTCAAACATTAAATTCCAATATTTTACACATATTTACTATTTTTTTCGATATCATTATGTAATTTGATTTTTACAACATTCCAAACAAAATTTGTGATATTTTCAAAAAATAAAAAAAAAACAAAGACTTTTATAATGTATTACTTTTTATATATGATTTTATTACACATTATATTTGTGCCATTAATTGATTAATTGTTCGACATTTCATTAAATTATTTCCAATAAAACAAATGCAAAACGAATGTAACAAAAGTTCATTTCTTATTATTTCTTATTATTTATTGGTATTTGACGGCAACGGTAAGAAAGCCGGTGTGACCTGTGCTCTGGTTTGGAGAGTATGTCAACACGTATTCATTGCTCTTCACGTCCGATGAGTTGTCATTCTTCTCACTCGAGTCCTCTTCTGTCCTCAACTTTTTGGCCAAACTTTCGTCTGATTTCTCATCCATTGCTTCATTTGCCTCTGAGTTCTCTTCACTATAACTCTGTATTCAAAGCAATCATTTAGTGAGTGACAAAAAGGTATTCAACAAATATTGCCATTACTTTAGTGGATGAGAACTGATAGGAGGGCATGGATTGAGTCTTGAGATCGTAGGGCCTGAGAACGCACTCATAGGTGTCGATGTCGAGGAAGTGGTGATCATTGAGCGCCGCACAGGTCTTCTGGACCTGTTCTACACACGGAGAGAAACAACAGATTCTTCCGCCTGTTATACAAATACAACAACAATAATGTTATTAAAAATTTATGTCATTATTAATAACTGGTGTTTACTACACATAAATATATTAAAGCTTATTAGCGCATAACCTCTCAATAATATGCAAATACTTAATACCTTATACTTAATACTTAATACTCCTATGGTTTAAATAGTTATCATAAATATGATCAACAGCTGTACTCCTACTACTATTCTAGTACTAATTCTATTGATAGTAAGCACTTGCAAACAAATATGTATAACAGTTGTTGACTTCACCTTAAAAAAGCCCGGTGCCTAACCACACGCGCCTGCCTTTATGTCACAGTAGGTGCAAACATAGTTAACCATTAATAGTAAATGTTTTTTGTGGGTGTCATAAAACTAATCGCTTAATCACTTCAATGGTCGTTATAAATGACATAATAGTTAGTTAATTCACTTGAATTCTATGTGTTAGCAATAGAAAAAATTTGTTTAAATGTAAATCAAACTTAAAATGCAAAGTCACAACAATATTGTAATAGTATTACATTAGACACAGAAAAACACAAAAAGCTAATAAAAATCTCAATCTCATGAATGTATCGATGAAATGGAAATTAGAAGCGAAAGAGTCTAAGAATAAGAAATAAGAGAAGTATTGTATTGTTATTAGTGTTGAATAGAGTTCTTATTTCATAGTCTATTAAAGAATTAGTGGAAAGTAAACGATCCGAAAGAGAAGCAAATTTTGCTTTCAATTTAGTGAACCTTCGGGCCATTTATGCCTTTAGTTAAAAAAGCAAAACGAAAGGCTCTAAGAGTTTGGGGTCACTTTCTTAGATCCTGGTTCGCATCCAATACACTATACGTTATGATGCATTCAAGTCTACTCATCTCAACATTGAGACCACTTTTTCATATTTTATGGCTTCAGGCTATTAGATGTTTCCATGTGTTGAGCAAACATTCAAAATAAGAATTAATGTTTTGTCAAAATTAAACTCTATTTATAAGCAAAAATAGTTGCTTTTATTCAAATTACTATTCGTTAACATCAACAGTCATCTCAATAACGGTCGTAATATTGTATATCCAATAATTGTATTTCATACGAAATAATTGCAAATTATTTTTTAAAATCAATCAAATAATATAAACTTTATATATAAAAATAATCAAGTAAATGCCTATATATTTTTATAATGTACATTCCATTATTTAAGTGTATATGAATATCTTTTAGGTGTATTTAAGTTATAACACAAACAAACAATTGTATCAAAAAATACTTAAGTAACAAATTATAGCCAAAACCATCATTTTATAAATATTTAGAATATTTCCCACACATTAGCATAGAGTGTAACAAAACTATGCAAACAATAATACTGTACATATTGAAAGATATGCGCTGAACTATACTGTACCGGTATACTTGAATAGTATATAAATAGTTGTATAACTTATAATTTAATCCTTTAATAGAGAAATGAATTGAGAACTTATGAAACTATCAATTGAAGAGAAGCAAACTCACTATTAGAGAGATTTGCATAAAATGTCTCAAACAATTGGGTTGGACTTAGATTTTTCTCATGAGCTTTCATGACCTGTACGTAAGGCATAAATATTTGTGCATTAAATGTGATATACGTTCGCATGGACTGAGGGAAGGGGAGGCGTGGGAGAGTACTGGCCATACAGTCAAACGGTGTTTACTTCAAGAATATGTAATACAAATTAGAATAGCGGCCGATGGCATCACTCGGCCCACCAATGCTTCCAATAAATGGTGAGCACCTCAACAGCCCTCCCCTTAATAGACACTGCCATCTGAACAGTACTGGCTATGAATGCCTGAAGGGCTCACTATTTTCAGCTTTTTTCTAAATTTGATAGCATTTGCAAAGAGAGTCAAACAGATAGTACTGAAACAGATAATTATAAATATTGCTGTGATTATAGCAATTGTAAGAAATGGCAACTATTAGACAAAACTTTGCAAACTTTGCGAACAAAACAAATGCAAACAGTTATACAGTTATCGATACATTTCTAAGGAGTGGTGTCATTGTGTTAGTCAACAAAATAAATGGATTACATTTTTAATGATAGAAATTTTGTTCAAAAACTTCTCACTAGTTCTCAACTCGTCTAAAACACTCGTAGCCTAAGAGCACAAAAAGATAAAAATGTAAATCGTTTTGTTGAGACGTTTTCAATGGAGAATGAGTTGAAAATTGAGGCAAAACTCAAATTGTCTGTCATTACGGCACTAAAAACAAAAGGTTTGGTCCCTCTATAATGGCTTCAATTGATAAAATAGCTCTCTCTCTCTCTCTCTCTCTCTCTCTGTCTGAACAATATGCGAGCAATAGATAAAATAAGTGGTTCCGTAAAATAAACTACAAATTTATGTCACTTTACAAATACAAACTGTTGCCGGAGTATCGGCTTATTACGGGTCAAATGCTTTGCCCTCAACTCATAATTGCTTCAAATTAAATACAATCGATATTTTAGACTAAAAACCATAAAATACAACAACACTTAACTTGAAAATAATTCACTACACGCTTAGAGTAAAGGATACAATAATAGCTCATAAATACAAATAACAGACTTCTAAATGTTAATATAATAGCAAAACATATTATTGTATAGTATTTGTAAAAATAACTACAAGAAAACACTTAAAATAGAAAACTTCAGTAACTGTTAATGAATAGTCTCAATACGAACAAAGTTTTAGAGCATTTAATAGAAAGTGATCAAAAAGTGGGCATAAAAGCAAAATTGATGATTAAATGTACAGTAAATATCAAGTAAAGATAAGAAATCAATCTTTAATAAGAAATAATTGTAAAACAGTTTTCATGTAATACATAGTACAGTATTACAGGAATTGTGTTCATTCAATCATTTAATTGTCAAAACTTTGAGTTGCACTCAAACTATCGGCACTTTTGAATCGCATATCGGATTCGCTTCAATCCATTTATAAGACATATTTTGATCGCTTTTCTAACAGATTATTACAAAACAATCCAATTATTAAAAGTAATTAAATTTTAATATCGATGTCCACAGGAATAGGCGTCAAATAGTGTGTTTGTCGAGTGTTTGCAGACATAAGGCCCGGCCATCATACTGGTCATCAATAGTGGTGAGGCCATCATACTGGCCATCAATACTGGTGAGTTGCGTCCCATTTTCTAATTGCAAACTTTGACAGAACTGCTTCCAGGCATTCACTCCATTATACACAACTAATAGACTTTCAATGAAATGCAACCAAAATAAAGTGAACAATATTTCAATCCATTGCATTGTGTTGGCAATCATTAGACATACCGTATATTTTTGGATGCAAAACATCCAAAGTATTAGTGGTTCGTAATTATCATTGAGAGATCACATTATCTAATGGTAGATATGGAGTCATACGAGAGCATAGTCTCAGATTTAATATAATAGGATTCGTGATGTGTTCAGAGGTGTGCAGCCCTACCACCACTCACTCCAACACAACAAATAACTTACTATACAAAGTAGTGTTGTATAAAAGGCACTCTTTTGTTCAAAATGATATGTCTGTAAAGTTGGGACAAAAGTATGCGGATCTATATAAGAGAGTGATCTCTGTTTTTGCATTTCTTACAAACATTTCTTTGCTTCTGTACATAAGTATTGACAATAAAATTGTCTCATTTGTTATCCAACTTTTAAATTAATATTCACTCATCTCTTCGAAACAAATTCATTTGCAATTTATATATCAAAACCAATTGATTTTCGACTCGCTTTCAAAATTATTAAATTTAATACAAAATATAAATGTATTATTATATTCAGACATTGAACTCATCATTTCAAATATTGAATTGTGTGGAAATGCACACATTATATTTATATTTGAATATTGTACTGTATTTTAATTCTGTATAGAAAGCAATGTTCTAATTGCGATAACAATATAGGCTTAAAATAAAAGCTTACATATTGTCTGAATTATTACATAAAACAAAATTTAATAATAAAAGCAAGAATTATATCGATTTAGGATAAATCTAACACTGGATAGCAATTATTCAAATGCAATAATTAAGACTATATTCATGTCTGCATCGGATAAATAGCATGAATTAGAAATAAATACTTTTTGATTTTTGTATCGTATAGTACCGGTACTGTAACTTATAATAGAGTAAAATGGTTGATAGCAATGATTTGTTTTAACCTTATTATGCAATATATGGCAATACATGTAATAAAGAAGAGCAGCAAAGGGAGCAAAACGAGCAAAAGTCGTGGGCTGTGGGACGGACACAATGGGTCACGACTTTGGTTGAGCTTTGGCTACATTTAACATGCGGTACACTCTTATGATTACATACCTATACTATTGTACTGTTATATGTTTTACATTGGTTTTCATGTGAGCACACAATATGTTACAGATCTCTTACAATACAACACAAGTGAAGCTATTTTCCAAATGAACGCTCTCTTACAAGCAGACTTCATGTCTTACAGTTTAGATCAAAACTGATAACATGATTCTCATCTCAACTCCTAAACAGAGCATACTTTGCATTAAGTATAAAGTAATGAAATATTGAAAAATCCTACAAAAACCTATTGAGTGTCAGAAACGGATATGCATTTGAGAGATAATAATAAAATAATAGTTTTGCAAAACTCATGAAATACAGCTCTGAGACATAGAGTTTGAGAATAATGATCCACAGAATAAAGAGTAGTTATATAAAACACATCTCAGTTATCAATCTTACGAAAACACATTTAATTCATTAGAAAACATCAAATCATAAAAGTGTTAACGACTTAAGAGAGGGTTAATTCGTTTTATATTCTGTATTTTAATATTCATTTATATTTAAAGCTATACTCCATTATAATATACGATACTATTATTGAAAATATGAAACAAATATACAAATTTAAAGCAAAATAAAATGCTAATAATATTCGGTACACATCACGAATAGTATTCAATAGAATGCAATTTAAAAATTTCGAAACTATTATTTCCTTTGAGAAAATTTATTACTTTTAAAAATATTACTCAAAACAACATTAAATTAGGGGAGAAGTCGTGAATCCATATGAATTACCAAAACATTATACAAAAACATTTTGTGTGCATTTTTAGTAATTTACTGACACTTTAAGTGATCTATGTTTCTATTTTCTATACACATATTTACTCATCAATTCATTTGTTTTCTCACATCAATGAGAATTATACGAAATGTCTAACAATTTATTCAACAAAAGGATATACCGAACAGAACTATATTCATGTTTTTAGAGGCAATTAAGGTTTGTGAGCAATTAAATAACATAATTGATTCAAATGTTTCAATTTAAAATATAATTCATTTATTTATAGGATTAAATTAAATATCATTTTTATATTCATTAAAATTATAAAAATTATTTGATTGTTTTTAATTATTAAAATTTAGTTGAAATAAGAAAAGATTATAAAATGATGGCTAAATATTAAACTCAATGTTCTCAATTTTTAAAATTTAATTATAAATATACCTTATAATCCTAAACTGCATTTTTATAACACAAGCATTACTGTATAATTTATAAATTCAAATTACAATCAATTCACATTATAATAAAGAATATTCTTATATACAGTAGAACTTTAAGAATTTTAATTTAATTAATTTAAGTGATTAATAAAAATATATATTTAAGACAAAACTTAATTTAAATTAAATGTGTTAGGCTATCACTAATACCATTAATACATTACTATTATTAATTATTAATATTGTATACTATATCACTGATAAGTTACAATGGTGTAATTTAAAGTTTTTATAATCTTAAACAATGAACAGATTCTAAAATAATAATAAATATAATATTAGGGAATTTGAAGTAAACAACGATTAAACACTAAACATAATAAAACTCAAATGATTGCTACTTCAACAAATTACACAAACTATAAAATTAAAATTGTATATATCATTGAAATCAATTAGTACAACAATCAATATTCTTTAAAATATTTTTAATTAAATCATGCGTTACAACTTGATTTAATTATTAAAAATACCATCAGATAAATGTATCGATTATCTGGCAATCAATGTATTTTATACATCGATTTAAAACTCGTAATTGTTTCTGAAGTATAAAATAATTGCAAATTTTATAGCTTTTATGTTTAACCACTAATTAAAGATTTTACTCTTCATTCCGTATCAATTACAACATATTATTAGTCTTTAATGTATTAATTTTCATTCATTTCTTACATAACTATTACACATTGATTGCTATAATTAACTCTATGCTATTTTACATGCTATCATATTTGCCTATTCATTGAACACTACAATGTATTTGATTGACAATTAAATAGTTAAAATATTACAAAACATTATGAAACTAATAAAAATCAAAAACACTATAGGATCAAGAAATTGTTTTATATTTTATATCTGCTGTCACTCCGAAATGTTTTGCAAATACAAAATTATAGCAAATCTTATTTTTATAAATTTTCAAAAATAAAGTTATGTGTCATTCAATGGAATTCAAAGTAAGTTATAAACAAATTTATCAATGAATTGATCAGCAAATGCTATACAAAGCAATTAATTGGAGATATAATCAAATCATTTATCTAAATATGAATACTTCAAAGCCTACGCATAGGGACGACAGCATAAAAAGTCAATTCAATGCTAACCACTTATTTAATAATGTTTTAAGTCTTAAAATATAAATGGAAAATAAGTTCAATTATGTAAACAATTACAATATATAAATTGCTGTAATTGTTATTCAAATAATTGCACTAAATTTTATTTTTATAGTAATAAACAAAAATGTCTAAAAATATGGTACTCAAATTATTAATGATTATCAAAAATCTACTATAAAATCATTACAACATTAGTTATGGGAATAATTATATATTCATAAAAGTATACATTAAATTGTTTCCATTCTTAAAGTTTTTGTCTTATTTTTCATTTGTTCACACGATATGATCAAAACATTTATCAAATAATTTATTCACAAACTCCAGAATTAGTGCTAACGAGTAAGACATGAAAAAGGCTATAGAATTACAATTAATCAAACCATTCATTTACACACGATTTTAGATTAATAAACAAAAACAATAAATGTCTTGTTTTTTGCAACCATTGCCACAGGCATAGGGCTAACGCTTTGACCATTAAATATATAGATCTTATAAGTTATTAAACATTTGTTACTATTATCCTCTAATTATATCATATAATGATTTGTTTTAAGCAAAATTGCTTCTCAACTCCAATTTGTTTGAGCGCTTAAACTGTCGACTCGAGTATTGCCACCTCTCAGACAAACACTCCATTACTATTCAATTAGACCACTGACTCTAACTCTAACCTAACTTTTCAAACATTCAAACATTGGTTCAACTATTAAACTAACTTAATATTATAAGTTTAGTTTAATAATGTTTGTTATAAGTTATAATAACATACTATGCATTTTTAAATACCTGTATTTCCAATTTAATTGATTATAATTCAATTGAACTAAACATTATTAACAGATATATAAAGTTTGTTGAGTTATATAACTAATCGACAAAAACATATGAATTGGACTGAGATGTGGAGAAGTGGTGCGCGGCTTACCATTGGGTTTGAGGGCGCGATTGGCGGACGAGATGGTGAGCCAAGGATGCGGTAAATCGAGAAACAAAGCGTCGAAATACTCGGTGTACGCAAAGCCATCGCAACACACATCCCGGTGCTCAGCGGTGATGATATCACTTAATCCGTGGTCAGCGAACTCTTGTCGGGCGGTCGCAGCCCTCTCCTCGTGGAAGTCATATGTGACGAGTCGGCCGTTGGGTGCGATGGTTCTGGCGATGGCGTGGGATAGGGATCCACTGCCAGTGCCGGCCTCGCACACCACGCTTCCAGGCCTGAGGTCGAGTTGGGTGCAGATGAAGGAGATGTCAGTGGTGTAGAGGATCTGAGTTCTGTGCGGAAGACTCAATGTCCACAACTCTGGCGTTGAATGCAATAAATGGACGAAACCTTTGGCGCACTGAAGGGCACAGCCATAGGGCTTACCGATGATCTGGTCGTGTCTTAGGGCGCCGTATTTGGTCTGGAAAGTGGATCCAGTGGTGACCCGAATGGGGTATATGTTGGTTGGACTCAAGTATACGAATAGTGTGTCTCCGACACCAACCAAACGCTTATATGATATGAAACTCTGCGCCATAGCCAACGCAAACACCTATTCTTCGGGAGTCGTGACTCGAGTCATGTCTTGTTGTGATCAGTGATTCACGAATAGAGATGTGTTTGAGTCATGTGTTGACCACTTCTTGCAAATCATACAAAACCTATTCAATAGACAACCGCTTAAGACATGAGTTCACAAACATGTGTTCAATAGTCCATAGAATGCCTAATATTCACGACTTTTCATGATTTACACAAACATTACAACACATTGTCTCCACTCATGTTCACACAAACACACCAAACGCTACCCACAATCGCCACAAACTTTTCATGAAAACTGTATTTCCCTCTATTATATCGTATTCACGAAATCATATGTTTCTCAATACATAACAACTGAAAACGTGAATCACTTGCAAACCAATGTTTTGCACGTATTTGTTTAAATGCATACAATTTAATACAACACTAATTGCTAAGAATTTTACACTATTTGCAGTAATATACACAATAGACACCTACTTTTATACAACAAAAATGTTCAAGCAATAATGTGTTTAGTTTAGCAGTTATTGCAACTTTTGACAACTTCATAGACCATACAATCAAATGCATTGTAAATATTCTCGATATTTATTCACTTAAATATATATTTTATAATTTAAATTCTATATTAATTATGTGGACTACCTGGCTATTTTAGTTGAGCCTAGAAAGTTTTGAAGGTGTGTCCCTAAAATAAAATTTTGAAACTACATACTAGTAGAAACCAAATTAATACCATATATGAAATAGTTGCAAGTACTGTATAAATTAATATTGAAAATCTATAGAATATTTAAAAAATTGTATCGCACCAAGTTAAATAGTTATGAAACTTATTGATTAATACAGTTAACTGTATGAAATGAAACCATCCTAATCATATACAGTACACAGATTATAGATTGTTGCACCCATCTATAAATATAAAACATAAATTATATTAAGTATTTGCTAAATATTATATTAAGAATTACTGTATAGTGTATTTTCTGAAAAAGTTAACA